CACTCTTTCTTTTCCATCTCAGTGAAGGCATAACCTCACTTTCTAAAGGAAGGTGGGAGGGGAATGAGAACGAGAAAATAATGTGGCTCCACTCCATCCCCAGAGGGGAGATCAGTGAGGGCACAGTCTAGACAGGGGTTGGAGAGCAGGGAGTTGTAATTCCCGTCTTATTTGTTTTCACCTTTCTCAGGGCAGGCAATGGTTCAGTTCCTGTGTCTCCCTCAGCTCGTAAGAGGGACCAAGTTGTAGGTTCCAGACTTAAAAAAAAAAAAAAAAGAACACCAGAAAAAGACTACTGTTGAACTTTAAAACACCTTTTAAATTACACTTTTATTGTACAGAGTTTTTTCAGCTTCCACTGGTAGCAACCTTTGGAGAAGCTGAACAAAAGAAAATTCATAGCCATGAGAAAGCCTCGCAGATTCATTTTGCAGAGAAAAGAGGCTTATATGCTGTGGAGGAACTTGGAAAAAATGAGTAGTATTGAGAGAAGAGTTCTGTCAATAGAAGACCTGAGCTTCCAAATGGTACTGCAAGGAGAATGTTTTTGACTGGATTGCAAAAAGTATACAGCATAAGGATGGGAGAGAAAAACAAAAGCACAGTAAACCAAAGTACAGAGCTGGAATGATGACACGAGGGAAATAAGCTTCAGTATATCCCAGCATCTGGGTAAAAAGCCTCACAGAGCAGTTTAGTGGAAATTTCAAAAATGAAAAATAGGCAGTTTAGCAGGATTGAAAGTAGAAAAGAGAAATATGATTTAAATAGGCAAAGTTAAGACCAGATTGCTTGGTTATAACAGATGATGTAGAAGCAGAAAAGTTTAAAACACTGTGGCACGGGTAAAAGAGGGCAAATGAACCAGAGAAAATGATTGACAGGTTGAATCTGAAAAATGGAATGTTTTGAAGGGAATTCCAGTACTTTTCTAGGTGCAGATATGGATGTAGAAACCCAAGGATGCATGTAAGCACCCAAGGCTAGTACTTAGTTTGGGTAGTTAACTCTGAGAGAAGTCATATGGGAAGTCTTGGCTCATGTTCTTTCATCTAATTCAAAGATTTTTTTCCAAAATGAATGGGAGACATGCATTTACTGTGAGTTTTAAAAAATTCACTTAAAATAAAATTACATTAGTTTTTTTTTAATTACCTTTTACATGAGATTCGACTTACTTATCTGACATAGCAATTTGTTCCAACATTGCAGAGCCCGTGTTTGTCTTCCAATTTCCAGATATGGAAGTTCTCCTGAAAGGAGGAAAATATTACAAAGACAGCCAGTGGTTTTATATTTTCACTATCTCTTAAATTACTCTGATTTTCACAGGAATACTATAGCTCTATTTACACCTTTTTCACATCTGCAGCTTACAACAGAACATCTAAAACACGAAGAATTCTAACAGGCATCGCAATTGTCAGTCATACTCACTCCACTGTAGGCATGTTATGAAGTGTGACAGTGCTGTGAAATTTCTGTTCCCCATTTATTCATTTAGGACTTTTTTTAAAAAAAAAACAACCTACTATGATTAAGTGAAAGTGGTAGCAATGAGCTGTTATCAGTTATAAATGGATTGAACAGCCTCTAACATACTATTACTTCAAACGTCAAGAAACTGAAGCTTCAGCTTCTTGTTTCAAATCCATACCACTGCAGAGTTAGGTCCCAATACTTGAAAATCAAGATATCTATCTTTTTAACATCTCTGAAGTGATCTCAGATCTGTTTCAGAGACGGATTTTGGTTTTTCCTCCAGTTTTCACTCTTTGCTAGCTTACTAATATAATCTAAACAGTTTATGTCAAGGCTTTATATCATCTTTTGTTTAATCTCTAAGAAAAAAGAAATCATAAGAAGTTTTTTTCTCCTCAGACCTTAGGACTGCTAGCAGGGCTGAGAAGATCACTGTTTTCTGAAACCTAAATGCTGTACTGAGAATAGGCTAAGGATACAAATTATGAAGTGTTTCCAGTTAGTAAAATAATAGGAACATCTGCAATGTATTAAAAGTATATTAGGCAGCAGCTATAGTTTTCTCTCCATTTTTCTGTTAACCTAATTATGAGCGTCAGTAGCAATTGTGGCGGAATGTTGACTTTTCTGTGGGAGCCTCATAAAGTTAGCTGAATTTTAGAGCATAAAGTTCTTGTAAGGTGCCGTATTCTTTGTTGATGTGGGAGAAACTAGTGAGAGGGGAAGGTGCATGTTGAGTGCTGTGTGTAAGGTAACTTTGCCCAGTAATAAGGATATTTTGTGATTTCTGCTTCATTTTTCAGGTGATATTTATTTATATGTGTGTACTTACAAATAAAAAAATTTAAGTTCATTACTACTCTACACACATATTCTGCATCAGAGAGATACTACTTCTCACAAATCACAATTCAACTCTATTGCAGACTTCTCAAAGGCATTCATTAGCACGTACTATTTAAGGTGTCTTTTAGGAAGCAAAATGTGACCAAATCAGAGGAAAAAAAAAATGTCCTGAAGACTGTTAGGAAGTATTTAGTTCAAGATCCTCAGCTGCACTGATTTAATCTCAGCACTACTGACTAGAGGAGAAAAGATGGTTTGATTTAAGCCGTACTTTCACTCCACAGTGTGAAACGTCCCCTATTGAACCTGAAGCAGTCTCACGACTGGATGCTTGGCTGGCTGTAACGATGCTGTAGGGACCAGATGAGGACTGAGAGGAATGCTGCGGACACAGACCTAATGGATGTAATCTCAATAGCTTGTGGGCTGGAGCTGTTGTCTGTCATACAGAAGAACTCCAAAACAACAGGGCTGTTCCATTAGACCATGGTTAAATGATACAAAAGTACCCGACCAGACCATCTGGCACTTAAACCTTAGATATGATTTCTGTAATTCATATATGATTTCCTCTACTGAAACTTGTAGGTTTCCCACCCTTCTTCAGTTCCATTCTGATAATTGCTAAGGGTCTTTCACATCGTTATTTCCTCCTCTTTTGCTAAATACTGAATAATATAGAAAACAACTCCGAACACTTTTGAGTGCTTTACACTTAGGCTTAACATGTTTTCACTTGATTTGGTCTTTGCAAAGAAGGAAGAACTGTTTTAAAATTGGGGAAAAAGGAATTATGATTAGTATAAGCAATTCATAGTAACTTGAGCTTCCCCTTTTCAAACACCTTTCTGCTTTATTTAGTACCATTTAAAGTATGCAATCCAAATCATCGGGACAGGGACTTGTAATCAGAAAAATGTGTAGAAATGTCTACCTAAAATTCTTGTGTAGATAGCCTGCTTAGTGGTTTGATTCTATAGCACTTTCTTTGGTTGATGTGCTCTGCTTTTGTTTTATTGACCTTTTGATCAAAGTACATTAAGTTATGGATTCAGAGTATTGCTTTTGGAGAGGAGATTTAGATGTAGTGTTTTTGTATTTCTGTTTTTCTTCATTGTGTGTGACCCTTGTAACTCTATTTCCTTGAAGTCAGATGAATTCTGTAATGGTACCAAGTGTAGTTAAGTATGCGTCACAAAACGTTTTGAGGAGCTGTGGTATTTAGAGGGATCCAATGTTGCATTTTGGCTATAATCTCTACTGACAGATGATAAGCACCAGTGTTTTGTGAGTCATGGATCCACTTATACCACAATTTCCCACAGAATTATAAAACTGAAGCTCTTAATAACTCTCTTTAAACTACAAAAACAAACGTTCAGCTGGTGTTTTTTGTGGTGGCTCTCTAAGTACTCTGTTCCTGTGTCACAGAACAAAATGAGAACCAGCTGTAGAACAATATTCTACTGACATAATGTATAGGTAGGCATATGAAGAATTTTTCAGACATTTGGTAAATCTCCTTTTCATGATGCTTTGTAACAATGGATCGGTATTGCATTTTTTTGAGTGATTTAACTGTATGAAAGAAACTAGAGAAAAAAATGATTGCTAGGCTTTTAGCATTTGGATGAACCCAGAGTTTCTGAGTAGAAACTTAAAAATAAATAAAAGGTAGGAGGAACAGGCTGTCATTTTAACTTATTTTTGCCATCCCTTAGGCCAACTGCTGCTTCTGTGAAGAAGAAACATTTATGTTTGAAAATGATAAATTTACCATGGCTGACTCTTCCAAAATTATTCTAGAGACTGAACAGCATTTAAATTTCAAGTCAAAGGAAAAAATGTAGGGATCTTTCCTATGAAACATAGTGGTGGTCCAATTTCTACCATAGGCAGTGAACCATCAAGTTACTAACACTGCATCTGACTGCTGGTATCTGTTGGTGTGTCATAACCATTAAGAGTTGGGCCTTATTCCTAAGACTCTGCCACTTGGGAGCTGTAAGACAGAGACAAATCAACTCCATTTATTATAAAGAACAGAGGAGGGGAGAGATGGGTAGCACAACATAAGAAATCTGCCTGTCAAAGCACCAACAAGAGAGAAAAGTACTATCCTAGCCTCAAAGAGACAGAAGTAGTTGTATGAAAAGTTCTGAAACAGAGAAAGAAGACTGGAAGTAGAGGAAGAACAAGGCTGTTGAATGGCACTGAGTAGAATAAAAGGGGCAAGGGAGAACCTGGGGCAATAAAAAAGGCTAGGCATAAGGGGTAAGGACTAAGAGACAGAAAGGTAGAAGTGGTCTGGTAAAGCAGTGGGACTGGACCAAGATACGGTTTGGACAGATAGGAGAGAGCTGACCTTGAGGTGTAGGAACATAGTGCTATTAGAAAAAGTAGGATGGATGTCTCCAGATATGGGGCTAAAGCCAGGAAAAGTCAAATCTGGAACACCAATGTAAGACAAACAAGCAGAATTGGAATTAACTTCCCTGGCGAAGCCAGGGGCTAAAAGCTCTATTATTCAGAAGCTTTTGTTTATGATTCTTATTGCCCATAGGGAGAGGTGGGGTAGGCCCAACACACCTGAAATTCTGTTAGGGCCTTGAATTACAGAATTTCTGTCCTGCATCACCAAGAAAATCACAAACAAAGGATTCCAAAAACCTCTCAGTCCTCACAAGCCATTTGAGTGTTCTGCCTTGGTCACTGTGTACAACTCAAATTTCTAACACACTGTTTTTGCAAAATTTAGATAGTTCTGGGTTCAAAATAAGGCAGAAGGATTGAGTGTCCGTTGTGCTGGATGGATCTGACCTATGGGAACAGTATTTCCACCCATTTCTGTGTTGTGCTTTCTTGAGGCCCCTCATATGTACAGTGAGAGGCAGATGGACTACGGAGTTGTTCTTGAAAGGCCTAATCTTTGATGTTCTTTCTCAAATACTCCTTCAAGTCACATGTCAGGAAAGGCTGGCAGTTACTTGTACAGTTTTGATCTTCTGACAGTAATGTCTTAGGGGAGAAGTCAAGAGTATGTGGCCTTTCAATATCAGCCTAAGGAGATATATTTTGCCCCTTCTTCTGGCTCTGGGCAAAAGGTTCTACTTTCTCATAGAGGTTGTTGGCTGTTCCTAAATTACTTGACGCTTAATGCTAACTCTGTGTTTAGTATTATAAAACATGTTACGTTTTTCCTTTAACCCAGCTCCAAGTTTTTGCTTCTCTTAGTATTTATGGTTTGCTTGGAGTTCAATTGTTTTTACTGATAAAAGAATTTGACTGTACCTTACAAATGTCAACACACAAGAAATTTCTGATCCCTCCAATGTCACAGGAGTTCCTAGAGAAATATCTTTGCATGTGTATGGGGGTGTGCATATGCAAATGCATATGTGTATTTTTATCCATGTTTTGTTATATTTTTCCTGCCTCAGAATTGTAAGCCTGAGGGAACAAATACATGAAATGATCTAACTTGTCTTAAAAACATGAATGAAGTAAGTGTATGTCAGATTACATTGCTTGATAATTGAAACAGAGTAAAAATATGCATAAATACAGTTACCATAGCTCAACTACTACATGATAGCCTGTTTTGCTGCTCCAGCTTAATGTTGTCTCTGAAACTGAAACATCCTTTTAGCCTCTTGTATAGTCATGATCTTTAACCAAATACCTGGATTCTAAAATTAGAAGAGATTTTCATCCATATATGTGAAGGCCATTGCAAGATTACAATTTTTCTTACATGTGTTCTGTTAAAAGGAGAGTACTTTGTTCCATTAAAGTGTTACGATTCAGGTTTGTGTGAATGAATGCCATCTAAGTATCCTTAGAGGGAGAAGAAAATTTGACCCTAAGTTGGTGAAAAGATACAAAGGAATATGATTTAACAAGTCCTCTATAAAAACAAATCCCCTTCCAACTGCTCCTTTTTTTAAATGAAAAAATAAACAAAGGTTAGCAGGAAAACCACTCTGGCAGGCTCACCTGTTGTCTTAATTCTCCTCCTCCCAGTCACAATCAACTTAAAAAATGTCTTGATAAATCTAGAAAGTCTAAAATACAGTCTTTCCAGAGAGCATGACAAAGGAGGCATGGAGTCACCACATCAGCTCAGAGACTCATCCAACAGTCTTAATCGTACTGGTGCTTATCAATTTTGAAACAAAAGGATGAAAGAAGATAAGTTTTTGGCTCACATGTATGCCTTGTAGTTACTGCCTATCTTTTGGATCCTGATGTCATATTTGGAGTCTATGAAGGGTTCAGTAGTGGCGTAGGTCTGAGTAAGTGCTACCACGCTGGCTATGTCCTGAAAATCGTAGTGGTTGTCTACCTTGATCTGTAGTCATCATACCACAAGTAAACAGCATATACAAAAGAAAAAAGAGCAATTAGGAATGAAATGTAGAATTCAGTTGCAAATGGCATTCATGAGAAGTATGGTTTTTGACAGCATCAATTTATAAAAAAAAGTATTGGATATTTTGTCTGCTTTCTAGATTCTATAACATTCCTGCATTAAAGTATCTATTTTTCTAGGCAAAATATTACCTGTTCATCTGTAGAAAGCAATTTGCAGACAGTGGAATTTTATTTTGCTTTTCAATTTTTTTTAAAGTGGTGATTATTAATTTTAGATCTGCATATTTTAGAATTTTTCAAGGTGTGATAATATGCAACACTAATTTATACAGAATTCTTGTTGATTCTGTAAATTGCTCATGTAACTGACTGTATATGCAGCCCACCATGTACTATCACATCATGTATCTCCCGGGGCAGCAGATGAAGGGTCATGATATCCTGATGAGTGTGCATTCACACGGAGCACAGAGGGTTGGCTCGAGACAGCAGAACCAGTTTTTCTCATTCTTCCCACTTCTCTGCAAGGAGTCAGGCTTTCTAGGAGCAGGATTTCCTAGTTGTGAAACATTGTGCTAAGATGGTGAATGGTGGGGAATATTGATCTGGGGGAGGGGGAGAAGGAGACTTTAGAGGACAGATGGAGGACAGAGGCATTACTTTTGGACAGGGGGGGCATGTCTCTATGGTTGACTTAAAGGAAGCTGGCTGAAGTGGGGAGAAAAAGGGACTCAGAAGTCTTAGGGCTATTAGAAAATGGGAGAGGGAAACTGGAACTCCAACACAGTGACCCAAAGTACATTTCAGAATGGTGACGAAAGGAGGCAGGGATTAGTATTTCTCATGTTATCTAATATTAGGAGAGTTTGCAACTGTTTGCAAGCCCAGTGTCTTGTTTGCTTCCATTGTCACCTGGTGCTTAAAAGGGAACCTGTGGGCCAGAGTGCCACAGCAGTGAGATGGGACTTGTGTATTAAATGGGGTCTGGTGAAGCTAAAAGAAGTCATAAGGCCTAAGTATTTGCTCTCAACTCTCATATGGAGAACAATAGAGAGTAATTTGCCATTTGAGAGCCATAAAACTGGACACAATGCCTGGTTTCAACTTAGTTTCTGAAAACTTAATTGCATATGAGAGTCTAATTACAACCAATGGAAACACTACTCCTAGCAATGCCTTTAGGGAGGACTGGGGTACGAGGAGAACCTTTATTTGGACTCTGACAGTAAGCATTTCACTACAAAAGACTGGCATTTAATCTTTAAGGATTTAAAATATTTTATAGCTAAAAAAATCTAGATTTATTTCTAGACATTTGATATGCTGAGCATTTCTGTGCATTATTTCCCTTTTCTATAAACAAGTGGTGAATATTGAAAGTACAGTATAAACATTCTAATACTTCACATATGCAATCCACAGAAACTGCAGTTTAAGTAATTAGTGGTTAATTCTGCTCTCAATTACATTGGCTGCCAGATTTCCACTAACTTACTAAGTAAGAAATAAAGCAAAACAGTCATAGGCAAAAGAACATAACATACAGTACAACTTGCATAATTACTGAATAAAATATAATTAAATTAATTTTCTGTTTCTATTGTTAGTGGCAAATATTACGTTCATTGAGCTTTTGGAAATTCAAGATGATAAATGTAACTATTCTCTGATGATTTGTTTTAAAATGTAAAGCACTTAAAGCACTGAAATGTTTTCAGTGAGAAAAAGTGGTTAATCTGTAATGACTAGAAATTTTCACTGATATCAATGAAAGCAGAATTTAAATCATATCCAATTGAGCCATCATTGTGAGATAAGCGATATCAAAACAACTGTACTCACCACTGAAATGCAATTACTTTGGAGAAAGAAGGCAGCAGTTATACAGTGGTATGAAACAATCACAGAGAATACATTAAGACAGGAAATGAAGAAAAGTTCAGTATCAAACTGAAACTAATAAAGAACCAAGGCAAAACCTTCCTATATTCCCAGGTCCAAAAAGTTGGATTGTGCAAACAGACCTTGACTCTAAAATAGTTTCATTGCAGTCAACTAAATTAATAAATAAGGTTCTGCTTCAAGAAAGCATCTCAGCACGGTTCACAGAACATCCTATATAGGCATCAATGTGAAAATATATTATGTGTTTTAATATTTTCCTAAAGAGAGGTGCTTTCTTAAATAACATACAAGCAGAGATTTGAAAGGGTAGGGATCTGAGACAGAATTTGGACAGTGAAAAGTTAAAATACCCAGGAAACAAAAGAACATGCATATTATTTTAGACAAACACCCGGCCTCCTAGCATGCGATAAGTAGCATCTGCACCTTTCCCATGCCTGAATGAGCATGTCCAATCTTCACAACAACGGGAAATGTTGGCATTGTTAGCTAAGGGGGAAAACAAAAAAGACATATTATAGAGAGCAACCGCGAGTTAAATTATTAAGCGACATCATTTACGAAAATTGACCACATGCAGCCAAAACACGACCGTAATGCAGCCAAAGATGTTCTTGCCATGTGGTTATTCGAACATGTTATTCATCTATGTAAGACTATGTGTTCTGATTAATTACTGTGTATGTTTTCTGACTGCTATGTTATTCCCAATACATACAATTGGTGTACTTCTATCTTAACTTTATTGTATGTCTGTCTTTCGACTTCACTCTTTAAACTGAATTTCTGCTGTTTCCTATTCTATGTTTTGCTACTGTGTTTTCTGACCCATAAACTCACATTCTCCAAGGTTATAATCATTAATGATGTCAAATTAATCACCTTTTTCCTTTTCCCCTTGATTTCCATTATTTAGCAAGGCTGTAAATTCCTTTTGTGACCACTTATGAAAGCAATGACGTCTAATTCACCAAAAAACCTTTCTTTAAAGGCAGATCCTAGCTTCGGTTACAGAATATCCAATTTCTCTAGAGAAGGCTCCAGCTTCTGCATAGAATGCAAGTAATAATTCAGCCATTGATTAGGAAATAAAATATGCAAAGGCATACTAATATGCTTTATTCAATCAAATGATAATGGTTCTGTCTCTCAGAAAGTTCTGTGAATAACCAGGTTTTTTCCATCATTCATTTGTAGAAGTTTTAGATCTCCCGGTCATGGGTACAGCTGTCACTTCCTTCTCTTCTTCTTCCACCTAAAATGTACCTATATTGCACCTCTATCAACCAAGCATAAATACAAATACTTAGTAGAACAGGATTATAACTAGAAACAAAAAACTGAACACCCTCAACACATACTTAGACTGGGCAGCAGCAGGACAGTAAGTGTTATGGGGTCTGAAACCTTCAGTTAGTACCAAATTTTAATAGAGTAAATACAATCAAAGGCAAAGTTGATGCTTTAGAAAATAAACTAAGAATTCTTAGAGATTTTATGAGAAATTTATTTTCCAAATACTTAGAAAGGATTCTCAAGAGGTTAAATCGAGTTCACACATCTCACCATGCTTTCCACAACTTTGCACAGAAACACACGAACACAAACAGATATTTAAATGGAAAATGGCATGGGATTGCAAATATTGACATTAAGATCAAGAGATAAAGAATAGGAAAGTCACTTTCCTTTTGGTAACATCCAAACCTATTTGTAGGGTTATAGAGCTAATCAAAATTCACATATGGTTTTCGTATATTTTGAACATTTATTTTCAATATGCTTTTAAGGATGCTTGATTTAAAAATACTTTAACTGAAAGCCAAATCTGCACAAGAACAAGCGGGCATTCACTGCAAGGTACATATTCTATACTACTCACTGTCAGATTCCTGGTACAATACATGAATCTCTCTCTTTTTTTTTCTGTTTCTAATGGACATTCCTAAAATGCATACTGATGCAATATTGTTTTGTTCCGACTTCTTTTTTTAAAACATAAAAAGAACACCTAAGCAAACAAAACCAAGTTGCTTCTTTTCTGATAGAATCTCAGTTTCTGCTCTGCCTGATCAGAAGAAAAGGGAGGAATCTTTGGATCTGCTCCTTTAACGTATCAGTTTTCAAAGCCTGATGAAACTACAGGGTCCTACAGTTCTCATCTACGCAACACAGGCCATGGAAGTTTTTCACTGATTTCTGCATCAAACCCAAAGTGATGTCTTTTCGGGAGAAAATCAGATTTGATATAAAGACTTGCAGTTATGAAAAATTTACTGCAATTCTAGTTAAATTATTCTGTTAGTTAAGTAAAGATGCCATATACAAATCTTCTTCCAAGGCATCCTTGAGATTTGAAATCAAGGATTACCGCCACAGGCAAGCAGACCATTCTGAAACCCCCTCTCTTAGTGCTTTATATTACACGCGTAACTATAGCTGCCACAGTTCAGTGCCTGTGTAAAGGCAACATGTATTTTTTGCAGAACTCCTGGGTATTTAAACTAACACTGTAGGAATCGATAACTATGAATACTTTGAAAGCCTTTTATTTAACTCTTGTTTAGGAACCATTTCAAGAGTTGGTCTTTAAATCCAAAATACATTGAATTGCCCTTTACAGATCTGTTTCAATCTAACCAATTTAAGTTAAGGCACATAAGCATGAAAAAACTGATTAGTTTCAAAATAGCCAAAAGCACTTGCAAAAGCATTATACAGTAAAGGTCACCTATACCGCAATTTAAAAATAAATTTCTTGCTAAACTGTAGGAATGCAAAGTCCTGTGTAGTCAACATCTAGTCACTTATTTATTGCTTTCATATTTTAAAATAAGCCACTTTTTTTTCCAGATTTTTTCTGGGGACGAGGGGGAACAAATCATTGCCTGACTCAAGATTCATAAGGGCAGCACCACATTTTTATGGCTGAACTATAAACCACTGAACCGGGGTTTGTAATGGAAATGCTGGCAGGCCTCTAACTATAGCAATACAAATGGCACTCCTGTAATTAAGAGGACCATGTATCTTCCCATGATTCCAAAGCTGTGGAATCCTCTGTGGGCCACAGGAACAAACACTAACTCAAATAAAACAAAAAAAAAGGAACTTTGCTTTCTCCCTCAGAAAAATGCACTAACATCATTTAAGGCAATAGAGTTCATTTTGCTCTGGAGTCCAATATCAGGATTTCATGTGGTATACCACATCCCAGCACAGACAAAGGGAAAAGGTGGAAAAAGGCGCTGAATACTGCATTTCCAACATCAGACAGAAGAAAAACAGGTAGCATGGAAGGCAGACAAATATTACGTTATCCCAGCACTTCTCTTGTTTGTATCACTGTGCCAGGCCCATGAATCCAGGGCTGATGAAGTTACAGTCATTTTGGTTTTTGAACAGCATTTCCTTTATTCCTGCTCTTACTTGAATTACCACGGTTTTCCCTTTGTACACAGGGAGTAGAAATGTGCCATCATGCAGTCACTTCCCTACCACTAACTGCTTTTCAGTTGTTCTGTCAAGCAATAACAAAACCTGAAATTTCTTACTGAAATTATAGAAAACTTGATTTGAGTCCTGCCCCCACCTCTTCCCAGGCTGCTCTACTATGTTAATTTCTGTCTTAAGAGAACAGGCAGTCTCAAGACTTTTCATACATTTGGGTAAACGTTATGCATGATACAATTGTGATAGTAACACCGAAAACGTACCCGCTCCATGGGTTTCCTTTTAATTTATGTTATAGTTACTTGGTAGAGAGATACCTTGAAAGAAGACCTAGCATGTACCAATGAATCCACTTTAAATAGTGCTGGTACTAATAGGACTCATTGCGTGTTTTCTTTGAAAGGTATTGATGGGGGGGAAAGGCCATTTTACAAAAATATTGCTTATTTTTCAAAGGTTAAATTTTCTTAAATTCAGAAGTATAAATTCTACTGTGACAATTAAAAACTGAGGGAAAAAAATCAGAAAAGACCGACAACAGAAATTACATTAAGGAATTTGGCAAGTTCATATGTATAAGAGATGGAAATGGACTACACTGCATGAACCCTTGCACGTACATATAATATACATGAAATACATCTGAATATTTAAAAAAAATAAATTAGGATAAACAGGGTTTCTATTATAACTTAAATAACAATGCAATAAACTGAAATTATTAATTAGACAGAAAACAGAATACATGTCAAGCGTGCAATACAATTTTCCATAGTTATATATGAATATGATTGGATTGGTAATAAATATCAGTAGCAACTGGAAGAACTGTCATGGCTCTTTGTAGGAACCCATACACAAAACAGCTGAGATACGTTACTGATATTTGCTAATACGATACCACTAATCAAAATAACATCACTGAGTATTAAAATGTTTTATCAGCTCCTAAAAACTACAAAGATAGATTCAGTCTATACACTTTCATTTCTGTGGTAAGACAGTAGTAAAAAAAAAAAGACAGTAGTAAAAAAATCTTTTGAAGCAGAATCCTTTTAAAATCTGGATAACAAAAGTCTAGATTCCTAAGTTTCAAACTGAGAAATATATAGCATGGAAGCTGCTTTACTGAAATGACAGGTTCCAATGGTTTCTGTCATATACTAATAGCATGAATTAAATTTACATACTTGATGACCAGACAAATCTAATGGTTGTTACCACAGGGCACCTTCAAACTGGGAGTTCATTCATGTTTGACGTCAGTCTTAATGAGTATAGCAGTAATACTTTAAAATCTCTTGGCAGACTGGGCACTTGTCTAAGTGTTAGAAGTCTAACCCTGTCTTGGTTAGCTGCACTGTGGAAGGGTTCAAGGACAGAGGAGAATGAGGATTAAATATTAGAAGTGATTAAATCCGTAATGGAAATACAACAGTATATATGGGTTTAAAATGTGACTATAATATCCTGTCTGAAAAATCTTCATGTTTTTAATAACATGTCTATCTTTCCCCTATCCAAATAACCATATGTTAGTATTTTTCATTCAAGAGCTGATTTGCATGCCACTTAACTCTTTACTATCACTTTTTCTTTACATAACTACCATTTATTTTATTTTTTTCAAGGCAGTCCAGTTAAAAATAATTCTTTCAATGGTGTTGTATGAATGTCACTAAAATTGATTCTGTAACAGGCCTAATATGATTTTTTAGATGAACACATTTGAAATTAATTGGTCTAGTCCTCACAAGAGCGATTTTTCAGAAATGAGTGGATTTGATTTTTCAGCCATATACTTGCAATGGGAATCCAGCAGCTGACAAACTGGCTCAAACTTGAGCTTCACTGGTAGACCTTCAAAATGCTGTGAGATCTGGACTCCACAGTCTCCATTGGTACACTGGAGGCCAATGTACGAGACTCATACTTTCAAACCACTTGCAGCAACTGTAATATTCTTTAATTCCTTTAACTAACCGATAATACAGACAGCAGCCCCTCAACATCTCTCACAGTTGCGGATTCACCAT